GTGAGGCGGATGGTGCTGAATAATGTGCAAGACGACGTAAATAGTAACCAACAGTAGGTTCCTACTTGCTTGGTTGAACATGTACTATGCTGCTTCCTGGAGAATCTCACACTTTTCTGCCTGATAGTGGCTATAAAGGGTTTCCCCTGTCCAAAAAAAGCCCTCGAGTCAGTTACATGCGTTCCTTCGTGGCAAGCCAGTGGAGGAACGTTGCTTTTTTAAGAAGTTTCCTGACCAGCATCCAAAAAGAACGACTGCCATTGCCCTGCGACATCACCTTGTGCCTTTGCATTGGTCACAAGATACTGGCTATTGGCAGCATATTTTATTGCGTGTACTGTAGAGGAAAGTTGAAATGCGGAAGTCCTCAATGCCTTGCCAGATAGCCAATTTGTATATTTAGGCTAGGTCCAGACTAAAAGACATTATAGGATTATCAGCGGATTGGGAGGAAATATAATGGGGTCACCAGTATCGATTAAAGTTCGGCTACAAATTTTCGGGGAAAATGGAACATCAACCAACCTATTATTAGACTGCATGTAAAATAAATCCGGATAATTGGTAGAACCGAGTACACGATGGAACATGTTGTTTATTCATTGAATAGAGCCAAAATTATACCTTGTAGCAGTTGAAACGTGCGGTTTGCCGCATAAATCGCCTAGAAAGCTTATTGCTGAATCTTACGAGGGATATTTACAGAGTTTTACCGGAGTTGCTGGCGATATTTTATTTACAACTGTATCCCTAAAATAGTTCAGCTGATAGTGGTGGTAGGGAATAGAATATCTACTCGCATCGTTTGTCTTGAAATGTTATCATCTAGAGCATTGATCCCCACAGTGGTCTATATCGACCCCTAGGGGTCTATGACAACCTGCAAGGGGTCTACGTCAGCGAAAAAAAATTTGGGGGTCCATGAAATGAATACGGGGGTCCACGATAGTGGATTTCAACACATACACTGATAGTACCTATTTACTTACATCATACTATCTTATAATATCAAAACATAAACATTATTTATAAAAGTACCTATGAAGTAAAAAATTTATTATATATGTTTATAAAATTGTGTAAGTTGTAGGATGTTGGTATTCGCTTTGTGGTCGCAATACATTTTGAACTTGTAAAAACCTGAGAGTCGCAGTCTCAGAGCTTCGCTACCTTGCACTGACTTGTTCAATTCGTCACTCTATAAATACGAATGTGGGACAAATACGTTCATTCGTTTCCTGAATCTTGAAAAGGAAAACGCTAAGAAAATATTTTAAAAAATATAAACAGATAGTATATATCACACAAATTATTGTGAGACAGTGTTATTTTGTTTGAGAGTGCTGGAGAAAAGTAAGTACATCATTTTTTATTAAATTTTAGTTTTGTACTCGTAGTTAGCAAAGATAGATAAATTATGCCAATCATGACTTTAGTTATTAGTAGTTAAATATTCAATCATGCAAAATTACACGAGTACTCCTCAATAGTTTCTTTTTGAAAGTTTTAGCAATCGGTAATATAATTGCAGTGCAATCTCCGTAATTCGAGCTAATTGTTGCAAGAAGAAGTTCGAATTATGGAATGTTTTCGGAAAAATCAAAAAATATTTTTAATATACAGCTGCTGGATTTTCTGTCTCATTTAAATAATTTAATTTTGCCCACAGATGACTGCTGCCATGTCCGAATCTAAAAAGAAATGTAGACAGTACAGTGTTGATTATTTGAAATTTGGCTTCATTCCATCATTGCCGGACAAACAATCGCCTATGTGCGTTTTATGCAACAAAGTTTTGGGCAATGACGCTATGAAACCATCTAAATTGCAAGATCATCTGAGAAGATGCCACCCTGATAAAACAGAGAAAGATTTGAAATACTTTCAAACACTCAAAGATAAATTTCAGAAGAGACCTACACAGAATGTTCGTTTCGACGTCACAAAGAAATGATGATGGTTTGCGGGCGTCTTACAATATCTCGTTACTTATAGCAAAATCCGGAAAACCGCATACTATCGGAGAGAAGTTAATTTTGCCAGCCGTTGAAGAGGCTTTAAAAACTGTTTTACACAAACCTGCATCTGATATCATTAAAAGAATTCCCTTAAGCAACAATACTATTGAAAGACGTATAGATGAAATGAGTTCTGGTATTGAAAGCTTCTTATGTAATTATTTGCAAACGACCCATTTCTCTATACAACTGGACGAGTCAACTTTACCTGATAATGCAGCATTATTATTGGCATATGTTCGTTTTATTTTGAATCAAGAAATCTACGAAGAACTGCTCTTCGCAAGAACTTTGATTACCGACACTAAAGGTGAATCAATATTTCATGTTTTGAAGGACAACTTCATTGAAAAAGCAATTACTTTATCAAATATAATATCAGTAGCTACTGATGGAGCACCTGCCATGGTTGGACGTTATCGTGGATTTTTAAGCTATTTAAAACAAAATGTGTCAGGGGTGTTAGCAATACATTGCGTCATCCATCGACAACATTTAGTTGCTAAAAATTTGAGTGTTAGATTGCATGAATCACTTCATTTAGTCATTGATGCAGTAAATCGAATCCGAAGCAACGCGTTGAATACGCGGTTATTTGCGCAGTTGTGTGAAGAAAATGAAGAACACTTTCATCAATTACTCCTTTACACTGAAGTACGCTGGCTGTCGAAAGGCTTATGTTTGACAAGATTTTTTGCACTTTTTGAGACTATTTTAGAATTTCTGGATACTAAAGATAAAACTTTAAAAGAAAATTTAATGAAGAGGAAAACAGACATCGCCTATTTAACAGATTTGTTTACAAAATTTAATATGGTTAAATTGCAATTACAAGGCGACAGTTTAAATTTGATTAAAACAAAGTCCATCTTATCAGCGTTTCTTGCCAGAGTTAAACTAATGAAGCAAAATATTGGACGGGGCGAATTTTCTCAGTTCCCCAATTTGTCACAGACAAGCTGCCAGGAAGACGACGTTTCAACTTACGTTCAACATTTAAATGCCCTCTATTCAGATTTTGAATCTGGGTTTGAGGATATATTGACTATGGTAATAACACCGTGGATAATTAATCCATATGGTGACATAGAAGAAACGAATGTCATAATACAAGAGGAACTGACTGAACTAAGTACAAACGAACAACTTAAGGTTCAGTTTAAAAACGGATATCAGCAGTTCTGGCTGCAAAACAACATACCCGTTACTTATCCCGTATTATGGAATATAGCGAGGAAATTTTTAATTTCCTTTCCATCATCATACCTAGTGGAAAGGGGGTTCAGCGCTGTTACCAATCTCCTAACGAAAAAAAGAAACAGACTGGACATCATTAGACGAGGAGATTTAAGATTAACCCTTACCAAATTGACGCCAAATGTTGATAATTTATTATTAAAGCATCAGGTTCATCCTTCTCACTAAAAATATTGACTTATTGCTTATGTTATTTTATTTATAGTTTATTTTATGTTTATTGGTGTCTGACCAATAAATGCCCGAATTGGGATTAAGTGCCCGCATTGATTTTTTTGAAGAACCCCACTTTATAGAAAATATTTGTTTTTAAAATTATTCTGAAAATTCAAGGATAGGTACACACTAAAATTCGTTAATTTTTTTCCTATTTTTAGATAACTTAAACGTATAAGAAGCGGAATTTAATCAAACTAACAGTGAAATTATTGTAAAACATACGTTTATGTTATAATTAATAAACGAACTCACTTATCGTACTATTTTAAGTAAAAAACTTTTTTTTATTATTTTTCACTTTTTTTTATTTTATCCCTCTTATTTTTTTTCAATGCGGGCACTTATTCCCAATGCGGGCACTTATTGGTCAGACACCAGTTTATTTAAAGTTACTTATATTTTGCCAGATACAAAATTTTATTTTGAGTAGTCTAATTTAAATTCAATTAATAAATGTATAAATTAACATGTGTTTTTACTTTAAGTTTTTAACACTAAACTTCACTACAATTAGAAATTTACAGGAAATCAATATCAGGTAAGTAGGGGGTCTACCTAACACGGAAAAACATGGCAAGGGGTCTACGACACAAAAAAGTTTGGGGAACTCTGATCTAGAGCAATGAAAAAGGTAATCAAGCAGATCGTAAAAGATTCTGCTGTAATATTTCCGTAAACGTGGGCTGAAAAGTTACTAAGGGCACCAAAAAAGCACCTCAAGTATTAGAGCACTCCGATAAAAGCAGTCTTTTGGCAGTTTTTTGTTTTTTCCTAATGCTTAAAAGCAAAGCAAAATAGATCGCACGCCACTGCTCGCGCGGCGTGCCTATGAACTGACAAAGTCGGTAGCCGCGTATGCCGCCGTATTCAAAGAGATGCCGCGCCTGCAGTGGCGTGCGATGTGTTCCGCTGCCCCTGAATATAGATCGTGGAATTTTAGGACCAGCCAAATTTTTATTTTTCTGCAACAAACCTCAAATCGATTTCCTAGATGAATATGATATTGCTGAATACTAGCTAACAATGCCTTGCTATGCGCTCTTTCCCTTCCCTCCTTTCTCACTGACATTGCCTGGTGTCTGGGCAATCTGATAGACCCACACATGACCCACAGAACTCGAATCAAGAGCAAAGGTCCTACAAGCCACAATGAATTATAGTGTATTTATCGAAGAAAGGAACTAAACCTAAACATATTCGCGCATACTTCACGAGATAGAACTCCAGAACGTCGATCGCATTACAGGGCCAGTGAGGCTGCATGCACCGCCGTGTAGTCTCCCACTCCACCTTCCTGGTTTGGCATTGGGCTTGTATATGAGCCCGACCAAATCTGCCCAATAACAGTTATGCTACCTGTTTTTTGAAATACATATATCAAAGTGTTGGTCACGCACTGAATACATTGTTTTAGTTTAGCATCTATCTTGGATAAAGAGGCCTTAGTAGTATCTACCTTAGAATGACAATAGTAGTTATGGACTTTATGCTTATTATATGATTTACCTGTGGTTCCTGAGGTATAGAGTATGTAAAGAGGTTCGTTTGCCTCGACTGGTACACATGGAGCACTCTCCACGTTCTTGACAGCTTCCTCCCAGTCCATGTCTCTTTGTGGGTCCAAGTCACCGATTTCGACTCCTTTCCTTTGGAAGATGATGCACTTGGAAGGCTTGTGAGTGGACATTGTCAAGGCATCGTTGAGTTCTTGGATATAGCTGGATAAAGATATGATACTCTGCGAGTTTATTTCTATACGATATAAAGTTAATCTATACTAAGTGACATATAAATGGTTTTATTTTAATAAAAGTTGGTGAATGTATTTATCTTACTGTAAATAACAAGTGAACAAATTTTCAGCCTTATCAGTTGGACATTGCGGTTTTTATACTGCTTTTTTTTAATTCACTAACGCTCTAAAAATGAATATTTCAGCCGCAGTAAAGAATCAACGTTGGCGGATTTTGGTTCTTGACATCCTTTACGATCGGTTACGATGCCTAGAGTACGGAGACCTGTACGATTTCGTCAACTTAGTGAGTTTGATAGGGGCCGTATAGTGGGACTTCGGGAAGCTGGACTTTGTTTTCGCGCAATTGCAGTTAGAGTGCAAAGAAGTGTAGACACTGTGGTTAGGTGTTGTCAGGCATGGCTTCGAGAAGGCCGTACGCAAAGAGCAAGGGGCACTGGACGCCGCCGTAGAACAACAGACCGTGAAGAGCGCCACCTAAGATTATTGGCCTTAAGGGACCGTTTCTCCACTACCAGGTCCATTGCAAATGAATGGTTTGCAGAACACGGAAGACCTATTGGCATGCGAAGTGTTTACCGACGAATTTGGCTTGTTTTCATACCGGCCACACTGGGTCCTCCCTTTAACTCGAGAACACCGACGTAATCGCCTTGAGTGGTGCAGACTACGGTCACTCTGGGATCAGGAATGGAACAGTATTGTCTTTAGTGACGAGTCTCGATTTTGTTTAGGCATGCACGATGGTCGTGCCAGGGTTAGAACGCGACGTGGTGAAAGGAGGAATCCACAGTTTTTTGTTGAAAGACATGTTCATCACACTGTTGGAGTTATCGTTTGGGGTGCTATAGCTTATGGTTCCAGGTCACCTTTAATCTTCATCAGAGGTAACATGAATGCGCAGCGTTATATCCACGAAGTTCTAGAACCCCATCTTTTACCCTATCTTGACACCAAGATAATGCCCGACCACATGTTGCAAGAGTCACAATAGAGTTCTTTCAACATAATGATGTCACATTGTTACCATGGCCACCAAGATCTCTCGACTTATCCCCAATTGAGCACGTGTGGGATATGATGGGTAGGAGATTGCTCAATTTGCAACGTCCTCCTCAGACTCTAGAAGCACTTCGAGAGGAGTTGGTGGTTGCCTGGAATGAGATACCACAGGAGGACATTGACCACCTGATCAGAAGCATGCCTAGGCGCGTTGGAGAATGCGTAGCACATCAGGGTGCATCCACACATTACTAAAGGTCAAAGGGCTTTAAAGCAGTGCAATCATTTTGAAATTTTTATCATTTACTTATTATGCTTCATTAAGTACTTATACAAAATTTTATTAAAATAAAACCATTTAAACTGGGTGTTCGGATTTATATGTCACTTAGTATATCATGGATGTTTCAAATTCGGCCCTCACCATTGGGTTCTCGGAAACGGTAAGAGATATGGAGTGGCTTAAATGAAAGTTTTGAAATCCAAAAAATTTTTCCAAATTCTTTTAAATTTTTTCCTGCTTTTAGTTGTGGGATTTTATGGTATAGTTAGAATTTCAATATGACGTTTCGTATCTTGCTCTCCAGCATCAACTTTACTTTTTCTAATAGTCGCTATAATGGATTTTTGCACAGATGAATATAGTTTTTCATTCTGATTTTAAAAATATATAACAAGTCATATACGAATATTGCCAAACCTTAGTAATTTAAAAAAAAATAGAACTTCCTAGGTAGGCCTTGAAATTATCAGATAATTATTTGTTTCGTATACCGGATTTATCGTTGTTTATTTTTGAGTTTAATTTGAAATGGGATTTTAAAATAAATTGCATGTTAGTATTGCCACTCTTTTTACTCCACAAGAGGGCGTAGTTAAATTCTCATTCAGACGTTTTTGCTTTCGATCTCCATCCTAAACTTTGTTTTTTTTTTCTTATAGACTCGCAGTTGAAATTTTGCGCAATCAAACACACTTTTTGATTCTGCATTTATACTAAGTGACATATAAATCCGAACACCCAGTTTAAATGGTCTTATTTTAATAAAATTTTGTATAAGTACTTAATGAAGCATAATAAGTAAATGATAAAAATTTCAAAATTATTGCAATGCTTTAAAGCCCTTTGACCTTTAATAATGTGTGGATGCACCCTGATGTGCTACCCTGATCAGGTGGTCAATGTCCTCCTGTGGTATCTCATACCAGGCAACCACCAACTCCTCTCGAAGTGCTACTAGAGTCTGAGGAGGACGTTGCAAATTGAGCAATCTCCTACCCATCATATCCCACACGTGCTCAATTGGGGATAAGTCGGGAGATCTTGGTGGCCATGGTAACAATGTGACATCATTATGTTGAAAGAAGTCTATTGTGACTCTTGCAACATGTGCTCGGGCATTATCTTGTTGGAAAGTTGGATCTGCCAGGGTGTCAAGATAGGGTAAAAGATAGGGTTCTAGAACTTCGTGGATATAACGCTGCGCGTTCGTGTTACCTCTGATGAAGATTAAAGGTGACCTGGAACCATAAGCTATAGCACCCCAAACCATAACTCCAACAGTGTGATGAACATGTCTTTCAACAAAAAACTGTGGATTCCTCCTTTCACCACGTCGCGTTGTAACCCTGGCACGACCGTCGTGCATGCCTAGACAAAATCGAGACTCGTCACTAAAGACAATACTGTTCCATTCCTGATCCCAGAGTGACCGTAGTCTGCACCACTCAAGGCGATTACGTCGGTGTTCTCGAGTTAAAGGAAGGACCCAGTGTGGCCGGTATGAAAACAAGCCAAATTCGTCGGTAAACACTTCGCATGCCAATAGGTCTTCCGTGTTCTGCGAACCATTCATTTGCAATGGACCTGGTAGTGGAGAAACGGTCCCTTAAGGCCAATAATCTTAGGTGGCGATCTTCACGGTCTGTTGTTCTACGGCGGCGTCCAGTGCCCCTTGCTCTTTGCGTACGGCCTTCTCGGAGCCATGCCTGACAACACCTAACCACAGTGTCTACACTTCTTTGCACTCTAACTGCAATTGCCCGAAAAGAAAGTCCAGCTTCCCGAAGTCCCATTATACGGCCCCTATCAATCTCACTAAGTTGACGAAATCGTACAGGTCTCCGTACTCTAGGCATCGTAACCGATCGTAAAGGATGTCAAGAACCAAAATCCGCCAACGTTGATTCTTTACTGCGGCTGTAATATTCATTTTTAGAGCGTTAGTGAATTAAAAAAAAGCAGTATAAAAACCGGAATGTCCAACTGATAAGGCTGAACATTTTTTCACTTGTTATTTACAGTAAGATAAATACATTCACCAACTTTTATTAAAATAAAACCATTTAAATTGGGTGTTCGGATTTATATGTCACTTAGTATAGTTAAAAATATAACACTTTTATCTATGTCACGATAAGCTTCACATATTTGATCAAAGTAATATTACTCTATTTAAATGTACAAAAGTCCACTTAAAATTTCCATAATTGCATGACAAATCTACATTCGCTATCATATGATGCATATTTCGTGAAACATGTGAGCCTGGACTGGTAACAAAACTTTCCTCCAACCCACTTGCAGTGACGTGAATTAAAAATAGGTGTGACACTAGATGAAAGACAAAAGGCCAATATCAAATAGTAGGAGGTGTGTGAAATACCCGATGTTGAAAAATAGAAGTTGAACAGCTTGAATTGCCCTATTTTTTCAGACGACGACAATCCCACGGTTCTCAGTTACTCCGTCATATCAAGTAACAACTGTTGCTGTTTATTCGACTGTTTCATTATTTATTTACGCAGAAAACCGTTAAAGCTGGATATTAACTTTCCTTTAATAGGATATTAGCCCTCTTTGGGGAGGAAGTATTGATTGCGTAATAGAATGAGAGCTGATAGCCAAACCCTGTTGACGAAAATATAAAAGGCTAGTGATCACGGTGCTGATATTGTCATTATCGTCCAGCCCAAACAGTCATAAGTGCGAGTCATAATTGAAGAGTGGTAATTCAAAAGCGTCTAAATGCCACATTTAGGTTTTTTGAATTTCAGAGATTTTAAGGTCTATGTACCATCGCCAATAGTATACCAAATATTCTATGTGCCTGTCAAGAATCTATCAGTTCTACAGGGTTTGTCCGGAAAGTAAAAGGACTGAGTCGATTTTAAAAAATTTATTGAGCCAATCGTTATAATTCTTTAAAAACTTTCAAAATAGGCTCCTTCTGCGTCGATGCAGCGCTGCCAGCGCGATTTCCAATCATTGAAGGCGTCACGGAAGGCATTCTCCGGAATAGCCTTGAAAGCCGCGGTGCATGCTGCTTGGATCCCCTCTGTCGTCTCAAAATGCTTGCCTTTAATCGGCCTTTTCAGGCGAGGAAACAAAAAAAAGTCCGGGGGGTCACATCTGGGCTGTAGGGCGGCTGCGGAAGAGATGGGATGCCGGCTTTGGTCAGGTAGCTGTTCACAAGAAAGGCGGTGTGAGCCGGGGCGTTGTCGTGGTGCAACTTCCAGTCGGCTGCGATGTCTTGTTGGACCCGACTGGCCCTTCGTTTGAGTCTCCTGAGCACTTCCACGTAAAACTTGGCGTTGACGGTTTGTCCAGGAGGAACAAATTCATGGTGGACGATGCCTTTGATGTCAAAAAAGACAGTGAGCATCGTTTTCACTTTGGATTTGCTCATTCTTCCCTTTTTTGGGCGAGGAGACGCCGTCGTGTGCCACTCGGAAGATTGCCTCTTTGTCTCGGTATCATACTCAAAGATCCACGACTCGTCACCTGTGATTACGTTATTCAAAAATTGAGGGTCACATTCACACATGTTCAAATTTTCTTGGCACACTTCCACTCGCCGCAATTTCTGGTCGTCAGTGAGCACTTTTGGGACCATCTTCGCGCACACCTTGCGCATGTTCAAATGCTGTGTCACAATGTCATGAACCACAGATTTTTGTTAA